TGGGGTATAGAATTAGGGTCAGACGTTTGGACTAGGGTTTTTGGGTTTGGATCAGGGAGTTAAGGCCTTACACTAAGGTTTCGGTTGCGTCCGAGTATTTTCTAAATCGTTACGGGTAAAGAGTCGGGGTTACCCGTTAAATCCATGGTTATGGTTGGTGTTTGGGCAATAGTTAATTACGCTTTTCCCAGAAGGCTACTTACCAGCCTCTTGGTGGAAATTCCAAATCTTGTTGAAATACGGTTGAAATGTTCGCATTTTTAAAATCCTGATTCATCGAACTGTCCCCATATGTGCCCTAAATTTTACATCCTATGTATCCTTTTCTTTATTGGCTGGTTAATGTAGTTTGATGATTCCTATGTATATTATTTTTATCTGATGTATTTTTTGGAATTTTCGCACATTACATTCATTTGGAAGCGCACTTAATGTATGTGCTAAGTGACTTTATTTTGACGAAGATGTCTATACGAGTGCTCGATCGGCAGACGGCAAAGGTTCAGTCATAGCTGTTTGCAGATTTCTCCGAAACTTACTTTGTAGTATGGCAGGGTATACACTGGCATGTGTGCCTTGTATCCGCCATCTCTAGACGTATCTCAATGTAGAAGAATCGTTTTATTCTTCTGGAATTCCTCAAAATAGAGAGTTTTTTAGGCAACTGCATACAAGGCCACGCTTGTGGTCTGTTTCACACATAATGTGCGTCAAAATTAGCCATAGTATTCATTTAAAATATTGGAAGATAACATTCTGCTTACCAGGAGAACAGCTGGGATTTTCAAATTGCGGAAGAACTTATAAATAGGAAAGGCTAGTTATCATCTACCTGCCGTTTGGCGGACATTTTAAGATGGAACCGATTTTCAGAATAACACACCAGCAGCACAGACACATGCTTTACGGATATTCCGCCGCTGCATGGCGCAGCCGCGAGGAGATTGGATAATCACTGGGTTCCCCAGAATTCCCCGTGTGCTGTCTGGTATATACTCCAGCTTAGAAATTGGTCCTTTTTAATTTCCTCGCAAATTAACTGCTAACATGGAGTGGATCACTTTCAACTAAGACCAGAATTTGATGTATGAATATTTAGGCCCATGACCATCAGCCAGAGCTGGATAACCGCGTACTATTTAGTAACTGCCGACAGGCAGCTATTAGTATTTAGCGGGTTGCATGATACTATGCTAGCAATACAGGTACGAGCTAAAGGGCCAGATACGTGTTTCGCCCACATTCTGCTGCTGCATGACACAGCTGCGTCCGTTCCAAGTATGACTGGAAGTACATTTGAGTGGAAAATAAAGTAAAGTACATTCTTCATGTAAATAAAGCCATTTTTTCGACAGGAGAGCGTCCTTTACTAATGCGTATTATGACAGTAAGGAGATAATAGAGATATCATTTCTACTCCGAATTAGGCACGACAAATCCCACGTATATGGCACCGTACTTCATGCACCAATAAACGCTACGAGTACAGCCTAAACGTTCGAAATGCCTTTCCGTGTCTAATTTAACATCTTTTATCAGGCGGGTCTGAAGTTAACGAGACATTTAACATTCCCAATTATACATATACTAATTATGAAGAGGGGCATTTTACAGGGCAGTCTGGGAATAAGCGCCATTGTCGACTCGACAAGTTGCAGGATGTTAAAGATGGGCAATACTAGGCTGTCGGCGACAGTATTTAAACAACGGTCTGAATATTTAACGCATATTCTCCTGGCTCCTTCCAGTACGCATTAACTTCTGAAGTCTAAGGTGTGTCTACCACGTTTAGTAAGTCCAAATGTTTGTGTTTAGATGAACATTTTCCCACCTCAGCATACATACAGTGAGTGACCGATCTCATGAAGCGTTGGCTGAAATTCTGAAATGCGTTTTCGATTGGGAAGGATTACTTGATCGCGGTTGTGATACTGATTATCTTAACTCATACTGTTATAACATTTAAGACTTGGCAGGATATCGGCTTTTAAGTGCACTTCTTTTCAATCTCCTGTAGAAAGCATACTCGGTAAAAAATGACTACTTAAGAAGCATGCATTTTTTCCATTGATTTTCAATGGTCTTGGAAATTCAAATATATTTCATAGAAACCATAAACAAAAATAGGCTTTCTTCTAATCAATCAATAGAGCATCACGTCTTCTTTATATTTTATAATTAAGGAAGGAGTGTAATTAGGTTTTAAAAAAGTTTCTAATAATGAGACTTTTTAAGACCGCGAAATGTCCGTTCACATAGAATCGCACCTGGCCGTTTACCACTGCTCCTCATGAAATGTACAACATGGTCCGCATCCATTGCAACATTTTATGGACTCTCTATGATATCTCTTTAATGGCATAGAAAAATATGTAATTTTCTTTACGCGGAACGCATGCACTTTGTGGAGGGAAATCACTAAGCGCTAATACAACGAATGAGCAGGCTCCAAATTATTCGGCAATTGGAAAACTTTTTTACAACCTAATTATACTCCTTCCTTAAGTATAAAATATAAAGAAGACGTGATTCTCTATTGATTGACTAGAAAGAAGCCTATTTTTGTTTATGGCTTCTATGAAATATATTTGAATTTCCAAGACCATTGAAAATCAATGGAAAAAATGCATGCTTCTTAAGTAGTCATTTTTTACCGAGTACGCTTTCTACAGGAGATTGAACAGAAGTGCACTTAAAAGCTGACATCCTGCCGAGTCCGAAATGTTATAAGAGTATGCCTTAAGATAATCAGTATCACAACCGCGATCAAGTAATCCTTCCCAATCGAAAACGCATTTCAGAATTTCAGCCAACATTTCATGAGATAGGTCACTCACTGTAAGTCGGCAATTTATTTAGGCGCATCCACTCAGTTTGTGTCATTTACTAGTGCAGCAAATTATAAAACAATAATTTAACCCACACGCACCTATGGCATCACATATGCTTATATTTTTCAATAATTCACGATGTGTAGATGGGTCGCTGACTGGCTTTATAAGAGACCTCTACGTCCCCAGGCAACATCCAAACTAACCCCTCTTCCGTCTTCGTCATTTAATTAAACGTGCAAGGTACATAGTTCTGCAATTTGATAGAAGTCTGCTGTTTTTTAATTACAATGGGGAAACACGTTTGCCTACTCTGAAAAGTCGCTTTGTGATTGACGGTATTTTTGTTTTGTCTGCTACACTTCCTTCTTCGATAAATCGAAGTTTTTTTCATTGAAAAAAAATTTCTGGAGCACGCTTTCCTGCTCACGTCTGGTCCATGTATATCCACGTGTAAAATACCTATTAAAGGTAAAAACACGACCCCACCGATCCCTTCAAGCTTAAACATATCGTACGGAGATTTAACATGACAGTCCAATTCAGTATAAATAGACCCACTCCTCCGGCGTAGGAGAGAAGTCATCCGAAGTGCATTCTACTGTTTGTGGACACGAAGAGCAAAGACCAATCTCTGTGAGTCTGCAATCTTTCAGTTTACCATATTGTCTATTTCATTTGCATGCGCTTTAATGCCAGCGAGAGTGTTTAATCGTTAACTTGCTATATTTTTAAAAGCATAACGCGATCCATCATGCAACAGGTTGGAAAGAACACGTCAACAACACTATTGCGAAAAGCCCGATTATGCTATGCTAGTGGTGAGGACTCAAAATATGCAGAAAGGGGATGCTTGCTTAAACATTTATAGAATATGAGCTTTGGATCAAACTGACAAGTGGAATTAGCAAATGATTTAGTATGAAAAATGTCAGAGAGTTGGAAAAAAACAACCAACCTGAGATGGAACTAGTAGGATGGTGACGGAATTATGCCAACCCATGACACTCAACTGTTACTTACAGCCGGTATCCATGTTTAATTAGATTAAGAAATCTGAACCAACTGAAAATACTACGAATGGCAGAACATATTCATCCCGAGGCAACTAACTGAGTAAATAAACTGACCACACATTCCCACAATGAATTAGTTCACAATAAAAGGAAAAGTTAAAGAAACCGATGGACATCATATAAGACCTCAAGGATACGCTGCAGCATAAGCTGCGCATCGGAAGCGTGTGAAAAACCACAACTGTCCGACCGTCGTTGCGGACGATGCCATCGTGCGCCCTACAACTAGGTTAGAGCAGGCACGGTGACTTGTGCGTGAGTCAGTTTATAGCGGTAGTAGACTTCCATAGTATCTGCCACACTTGCTCATCCTGCTTACCACATTGACTCGGTGTCAAGGCAGAGTCAAGAAGAGGTCGGAGGAAAAGGGGGAACCGGCTGAAAATAACCAAGAGTGCCAAAAACCGTACAGAAAAACAAAGTATTTTATCTGTTAGCAGCATTGGAAGGAGCAAGTGCTTAGGTGTTTAATATGGTAGTTACTTTAAGCACGCGCATGCTGCGGGGAAAGTTATATGACCTATGAGCCGAGGTTCATACATTAGTAACTTATATAAACAAATGTTACTTACAGGTTCACAGCAGTATCATGACAATGATGAGTTTTAGCAAGTGATATCAAGACGACAACGGCCGGACGGCATTGTGATGCGCACTGCGGTGTAGACCCAGTTTCCTTTTAAAAGGTTATACGGGTGCAGAAATAACAATATCGCTTTATATGTTCATTTACGTCAAGCTTTGCACAACATAGTGAACAATAATTTCTGTCAGTCTTTTGATTAATTCAGAAAAGTATTTGGGCCGAGTATCACTGCTAAAGATGATTAGTATTTGCCTCATATTTAACTAGTAATTATTTTCTCTAGGGAAAAATGCGATCACAGTCCTGGATCATTTGTGCCCTTCTGCTGCTGCTATATACCAAAAGCAACTTTGGCCTCCCCCAAAATTTTATCAATATTATCATGGAATATCACAACCTCGCGAGAAAATCTGTACATCCGACTGCGTCAGATATGCAGACACTGGTGAGTACAAACATCTGAGTGGAAACGGATGGGATGCAACCCTCCCCCCTAAAGCAACGATTCTGATACTGTTATTTTCTTTCAGACTTACGACACCAAGTTGGAGGCATTGGCTCAGGATTGGGCGAAACTCTGTAAGATGGTACACCCTAGCAAGGATAATTTAAAATACAAGCCGTACGGACAAAATCTGGCTGCTAGTGGCAATCGAGAGCTTATCGATAGTCTTCACGTTGCATTGACTGGATGGTACGCGGAGAGGGGCTACTATCTCACTGCGTATAATTCTTGTTCAAAAGAGCCCTGTGGACATTACACCGCGGTAGGCGCAGCCACATACCATTGGATTAGTAGATTTCAAGGTCTTTGTTGATTGTTCTTTTGAGCTTATTCACAGTATCTTTTATCTCCCACGACAGATGATTTGGGCAAACACAACCAAAGTAGGCTGTGCATACGCTAGGTGCGACAACTTATTCAACACGAAGTCATATCTGTGGGCATGCCAATACGAGCCCAGGCAAGTTCTCCTTTTCGATAGTTTACTTACGGGATGTTGCATGATTGCATGACTGCCTAAATATGCTCGAACGTCGCAGATGAGGGAAATTGCCCTGGTGAAGTTGGCTGACGTCTTGTGAGACTAGATGATCTTATGGCACACGACTGACGACCTACGGCAGTGAGACATGCATTCGCTCGCAGTGGGCGTCGGTTAGCAGTGGCCGCCCAGTGTGACTACATTTGATGCCGTTGTTGTAATCCGCAGAATAGAGCTGACAGGAAAATTTCCAAGGTGCTTGAAACTCATATAAAAATAAGGAGATTGTTTAAAGGCTGAGCATAGCACTAATCGGACAATTTCGCGCTGGCCTTTGAGAATTGCGCCGATAATACTTTGCTGACAGATTATTTAATCTGTCCGCGTTGTGATTTTGATGATATAGCCTGTCTTTTTCGTAAATTGTGAACTGCATGCGCATGTGCTGCATTATCATCCATATGCTTCCTGGGTAAATATTCCAAATTTAGCCTGACATTTATGGATTTACTACTTTAAGGTAATTTCATGACATGCTATGACAATGCCAAGATATACAGTGGATGTGCTAACTCATGAAATGTTAACCAAAATTTCGAAATGCGTTCTCGTTTCAAAAAGATTAATTAAGTAGTGTTGTAAAACTTATCAGGACACAGCATAGATCTGTAATAATCCAGGTACCTCAGGGTGTCGGCTTTCGAAGGAACTTTTGTTTCGGCTGCATGCAAGATCTATACTCTGCAAAAATGGCTACTTATGTTGCTTGAAATTTTCTCATTGATTTTCGATGCCCTTGAAAATTCAATTATATTTCATTCTTTTACTTATTCGATAGAACATCACATCTTTTTCCAACTTCACACTCAAAAGAAGAATGTAATTTGGTTTTAAAAAAACTTTTCTAATTCCTGAATAATTTTGAAGCCGACCTGCTGTTACACTTGCATTCAGGGTTTCAAAACTACAAGCCGTATCTTTTCCGTGTACGGAAAACCTTGCATTTCTCTACGGTGTTAAGAAGAAACCATATGAGGTTCATAAAATTAAGCAGTGGATTTGAGTGGATTTGTACATGCAGATACATGACGTTGCATGAACGACCATTTAACGGTATTAAAAAATCTTACAATTAGAAACTTTTTAAAACCGAAATATACTCTTCTTTTGAGTATAAAATTGGAAGAAGACGTGATTTTTTACCAAATAAGTAAAAGAATGAATATTGGTATGCATGTATTCCACGAAATATAATTGAATTTTCAAGGGCATCGAAAATCAATTAGAAAATTTCAAGCAACATAAGTAGTCATTTTTTGCAGAGTAAAGATCTTGCATGCAGCCGAAACAAAAGTTCCTTCGTAAGCCGACACCCTGTGGTATCTGGATCACTATAGATTTATGCTGCATCATGATTATTTTTACAACACTACTTAATTTATCTTTTCGGAACGAGAACGCATTTCGAAATCTTGTTGACATTTCATGAGTGAGCACATCTACTGTGCTTATACAGTAAACAGTCTAGGAAGCCTCTGGATTTCCGAAGATACGTGCATTCACCCAACTCTTTGAATATATTGCCGACTGAAGATATTTGAGTAGTAAAACTAATATACTTTTGAAGCGACCGCATACAAAGTCCCCGGAGTGGGCGAACTTCTGTTAAGTTTTCACAATAAAATAATAAAGCCCAGAAATGTATTTTAACGGACGGCAAATATATGTTTAACCCTGCCTACGGTAGAAGTGCAGTGATACAATCTGTCAAGCGACATACCGAAGACTGTTCGTAATTTAAAGGTAGTAATGAAGTAGTATTGTGGATCTGATTTTAGTCCAGCATATACGCAAGGTATTTCAGCGCCTTAAGGATGGGAGCCTTGGAAGGAGTTTCATTTCGGCTGTCTGAAAAAGCTTCACGCTGAAAATTACTTCTTATGGATTAGGAATTTTTCCCACAGTTTTCACTACCAACAGTATCTGCAGTAGATATGTCATGTTATAATCTGTCAACTTGAATTCTGAAGGCTGTTTGTAATTTAAAAACCGCACTTTAGAAGTTTTGTGATGTTATTTTTTGTCCAGAACGATCGCAAAGTGCTTCAGGCTGTTTAAGCTGCGGGCTACAGAACGAGCCTTATTTCGGCCGTCTGTGAGAGCTACACAACAATATTACCGCTCGTGCATTATGAGTTTTTCTCATTGATTTTTGCATGTTAAATTTATTTTAAACAATTTATGCCTAAAGATATTTATTTGATTAAAATATTACCGTCTCCTTAAGTTACTGCTTTAAGAAACGGTAAAGTCTGGTTTTAGGACGGTTTTCAATACCCACATACAGTGAGTGACCTATCTCATGACATGTTGGCTAAAATTCTGAAATGCGTTTTCGATTAAGAAGGATTACTTGGTCGCGGATGTGAGGCAGATTATCTTAAGGCGTACTGTTATAACATTTCGGACTTGATAGGATGTCGGCTTTTAAATGCAATTCGTAACCAATTTCCTGTAGAAAGCGTGCGCGGTAACAAATGACTACTTAAGTAGCATGCATTTTTCCCGTTGGTTTTCAATGGTCTTGGAAATTCAAATATATTTTATAGAAACCATAAACAAAAATATGCTTTCTTTCAGGCAATCAATAGAGAATCACGTCTTCTTTATATTTTATACTTCAGGAGGAGTATACTTAGGTTTCAAAAAAGTTTCTAATTATGAGACTTTTTAAGACCGCGAAATGTCCATTCACATTGCATCGTACCTGGCCGTTTATAACTGCTCCTCATGAAATGTACAACATGGTCCGCATTTATTTCAACATTTTATGGACTCTGTATGATATCTCTTTAATGGCATAGGAAAATATGTAATTTTTTTACGCGGAATGCATGCACTTTGTGGAGGGAAATCCCTAAGCGCTAATACAACGAATGAGCAGGCTCCAAATTATTCGGAAATTAGAAAACTGTTTTAAAACCTATTTATAATCCTTTCTTTAGTATAAAATATAATGAAGACGTGATTCTCTATTGATTGCCGAAAAGAAAGCATATTTTTGTTTATGCTTTCTATAAAATATATTTGAATTTCCAAGACCATCGAAAATCAATGGGAAAAATGCATGCTACTTAAGTACTCATTTTTACCGAGCACACTTTCTACAGGAGATTGAAAAGAAGTGCCTTTAAAAGCCGACATTCTGCCGAGTCCCAATTGTTATGTGAGTATGCCGCTAGATAATCAGTATTACAACTGCGACCAAGTAATCCTTCCTCATCGAAAACGCCTTTTAGAATTACAGCCAACATTTCTTGAGCTCGGTCACTCACTGTAACTTTGAGCCTGACCTACTATTGCTCTTGCATTCCGAGTTGTCAAACTAAATGCCGCATATTTCCCTTGTAAGAAAAATTATACGTACGCCGTTGAGATGTCATATGGCACGCTAAATATTTAGTAAGTGTAGGCCGCGTTGTACACTTTATAAGCAGTGCCAATTAATGGGCATTCCTTGATCTTAAAAGACATAATTTCCCGCCAAACGTACATATGAAGGGATGCCTTCGAGCATACATTCATCGAAATAAACTCTAATTTACAAAAACATCTAAGACGATGGTAAAAATGCCTACTGTATAAATAGGCATTTTTAGAGTGTGGCTTTGGCAGGCGACCCAAGAGAATCGCGTTCAAAGCTCCACACCTGAAGTGAATAAAATAGCTTGTAATCATTTTCTATGACGATTCATATTATAACAACACTATTTAAGAAATATTTTTGAATCCAAGACAATTGTTTTCCTTTGACATTTTGTAAGGCAGCAGATCTGCTGCAAACGTTAACGGCCATCGAGAGATAAGTGCGCCAACTGTAAATTGAATACCAGTTCACAGAACACATAGGCAGACACTGATCGCATTTTAGTACGGTTAACACAAATCGCCCGGTAGGTAAAAGAATCTGTAGGAGAAGACGTCACATGGAAAGAAGATATTGTTCTAATTTGAGTTTCTGCTGTGTTAAAACTTTCAGCGGAAACTGGATAGGCAAGATACCGTACAAATTCGGACGTCCTTGCACGCAATGCAGAGCCGGACAACAATGCAAATTGAAGCAGTGTTATTAACGGGTTATATGCTGTCTTATGAATTGGTTCTCTTCACAGTTAATGTGCTTTATATTTGTGTGAAGTATTGTGGTGCTTGGTCATAACAAGGTGCGGAAAAATAAAATATTTGAAAATAAAACATACCTCTCATGAACACAGTTTGGGAGCATGTGCATACGAACACACGGAATTGGCGTTGCGGATAAACAAGAAGGGGTGCGATAAGAGGTCTGTGGTGGGATCATAGTTAAAAGATCCTGGGCTTACAACCGAACAGGGTTTTACAGCAAGGACATATAACTGGCTGACAGGTCGGAATTCTTTTTTTCGTTCTGCAAACAGAAAAGCGCAGATTCATGCGGTAGCTCATGGTGAGGTTCTATATAAAGGACTCAAAGCAGGCGTTTTTCCAAAATCACCGGTAGCAAGTGTGTCTATAGTGGTCATCTTGGTCCTAATTGACTCCCCTATCGTTCAGCGCTTCTTAAAATGTGGCATTAAATGGTCAGCATGTACAGATCTAGCCGCAATCGGAAGACAGATAATTATCAACACAGGTGAACCAATGTGAAATTAACACAGGTCATCAGCTGCGCCATAAACGTTCGAGAAATTTGCTGAAGAAAGATCCGACTTCAGTACAGAGTTCTGGCAGGAGAAGGGGCCGGTAGTATTTTGAACTAATTGTGCATAGCTCGGTTTCTTAAATCTGTAATGGCCATGGCGAAACGATGAGATAAACAACTCCGAACACGAATGATATATCGGGCGCTCTCGTACGTCAATGACAACGCGGACGACATCATCCGCCTGCCCATGTTACGTAGGCGCAAAGTATTGAGGCCGAAATCCCTGCTATCATTGGCGAAGTCACCTAGATTCGTTCACCGCAGTCGTAGACGAAGCAGTTCATTCGGTGGATTTCGGTTGCATCTTTCATTTTCAAAAGGCCAAAATGCTCATGCGATGTGGCATTCAGACGAACGGCGTACTGCTTGACTCTGCGCTCTTCGACTCGCAATTAATCAGCCGGTGAATTGACCCCCCATCTTCATTTCCTGCGATGGGTCTTTGCCTAGCGGGCTGTTTTGTCATATTGGAATCGTGCGGACGAACGGTGCAACAAGTGGTAGTCGTTTGTCACATCACTTGTTAACACTGATAAAAAACTTAAAAACTTCGAAAACTCTGGAATACATAACCGTCGTTTTTATCAGTTGAGTTCAGTTTATTTGAGGAAAGAAGGGGTGCGCCTATGAAATCCCTATTTATCGCACGCAGAGGAAGATTGCGAGGAAATTGCAGACACAAGCGAAGATGCGAGTTTCATGAACTAGTTGGTCAGAAGACGAGGCGATCGCTGGAACAAGGACCCTATTCGCCTGACGTTTCGGATTCTCACTTGAACACATCATCCAGGGACAGTGGCAGAAAAGAGTCACTCGTGCACAGGAAGTTGCAGAATTTATAGGAGGCAGTCGCTATGCTTCCACATACCCATACCAATTAACCGCGCTCCCCTTCATCAATGATTGTTGCCCGCTGGTACGCTAATTGCTTGATGGGCGGCTTTCAAGTTGTTAATGGCTTACATGTCATCACCCCTGTTGGCTGCTGGCGTGATGATCTCTCGGCCATCTGGCTCACCGGCTTGCGCGCTCCCCGAGTGTTTAATTGCTTTGGCCAGCCTATGCCTCAGCACGAAATATGGAGTGCGGATGCCATTACACTTGTTGATACATTGAGGTCCCATAAACCATGACTCCGGCAACTCGCAGCTCACGCGAGCATCCCCTCTCGCGATAATTCCGGCCTAATCGAAGTTGAATGTGTGGCCGGGTATCGTCGAATGGGCCGCCACCTGAGAGTTGGCATCATTTCTCCGTACCGCTGCCGCGTGTTCGTCAATTCGCGTCCGGAGCAGTCTTCCAATTTCTCAGACGTAGTCACTTTGTCCGCAACTGCGTCAGATCCGGTAAAAGACTCCGGGTGTTTCTTGCCGTAAGAGTGGGTCTTTTGGTCTTATTATCTGAAGCCTCATGGTGGCCTCCGGCCTGTGTACAACTCCTACCCCGAGTGGTGCAAGAAGTCAACTAACGGCCTCGGAGACGTTCTTGATGTACGGCACCGCTCGCCAGAATTTGGTGTCGGCACGGTTTTTGTGTGGCAGTTACTTTAAACACGCCTTAGCTGCAGGGAAAGTAACATGATCTTTTGTCTGTAAGCGTCTTAATGAATGACAGTAGAGATAGGCGCCATGGTTAATGCAAAAGTAATTTTTATAAACAGGCGCTACTCAAAGGTTTACAGTAGCATCATTACGGTGCTTGTTGGCTAACATGAGTTGTCAAGACGGCACTGCAGTAGAGATCTGGTTTGGATAAAAACTTGAAGACAACGTCATTGTCTACCGCAAAGTAAACGAAGGAATATGCTTGTGCATGTTCTCCATAAAATATATTTCGCTTTATAAGACCAACGAAAATTAATGTGAAAAGTGCATGTTACATTAGCTGTCATTTTATACCGAGTGCGATTTCTACAGGCGGTCGAAGAAGGGCGTTTATAAGCCGACATCGTGCCGACTCCGAGATTTTATAGGATTAATCCGCATGCCAATTTGCCTTACAGGTCCGCCTTAACAATCCTTCCAAATCGAAAACGCGTTCCAGTACATTGGTCACTCATTGCGTATTCAAGATTTGGCTTGCAATGTTTTAAAGGAGTTGATAATGCCGCATAATATATAACGTTTCAGAAAAGACAGATTCCAAGACTGAATAAAGAAAATAGTCAAATTATTCGTGTTCTTTTGTCAAATTACAAAAGATTGACTGGGCTGAATGAAGTCAGCTGTAGCATACACAAGAACTGGTCCATACGCCAACTATGTGAGAAAGCCTCCGGCAAGGTCATCTTCTCATTGGCGGTAACATCTTTTTCATTGATATCTTGTCGTGAGACTTATTTCCGCTCAATCGTCATCAACAAAAAAACGCCCAGTCATTGCTGTTGATTGCGCATTATGCATACCAGTGACGGATGTCATGATCTCCAACAGTATACTATGAATGATGGCTAAAAATGTACTCATCGCACATTTGCGCAGAAGGTGATCGCAGCCAGTCGTGAAAAACACAGTTTGCAAGTCCAACAGAATAGACAATATCGACATAGCTGTCGGCAGTTGCTGGATTTACGTGAGTCACGTGGGGTGAGTAAGAAGTTGCTAAATAAAGGCATCAGCTAGCACTTTGCCCACCATGGGAAAGGGGCACTCAGTCATTATGCACAAGATACTTTCATTTAACTAAACCGAAACGTGAACGGACAAAATATTGTGCGTTATGTCAGCAGAAATTTCAGTCTATTCTTCTTTGTCATTTACAACAGGTTAACATGCCGAATCAAAAGGCATGGTAGACGACAGATACAGCCTCGTTTGTACCAATCGTATCTAAGTGAGAGCCGAAAACCAAGGCAGGAAACTCAAGGGCTTTTAATTAGTCTGGTTTGATGCGAAAAGAGCAGCTGAAGTGCCTTTCTGAGATCATCGCATACATTTTCACATTAAGAGAACCTAAATCACTTTTTGGCCAATTTCGTCTGAATTAATTATGTTACGTTTGTCTCTCAGTGGTAAGTCATAGTAAATCCAAAGCATCACGAAAAATATCACTATTCTGGTCAGCTTCATCTCCTTGTTCTATCGGTAGATATATAAGCATGCAAAAGGAAGATAGAACCGTGTGAAATAAAATGAAAGAGGTGTCTTTGAGATGTGTGACAACCTTAAAGTGGAGATAAGGTGACCCCTTCACTGGCTTAAACGTAAATGTACGTCCCAATACATTTTATAACTCGTCGCTGAAAACTTCTTCGAGGTATTGAAACAATCCAAAGGCGGACTGCATCCGCTGTAACTTCAGAAACGTCATACAGGATACGCGTTGGCTACCTTCTGCGTGGCACTGACCGCACAGGACGATAGAGTTGCAGCGTTTCCCAGAGCTTTTTCACGGGCAAAACAGCAGCGGAATTGAAGCGGATTGTAATCGTCCGGTTCCTTTGCAACCTGGCAACTGCACCATTGCGATGCATGAAAGTTCGATTACGTGCCCCTTGATTTATGAAATAGTATTTTAACATCAGTTTTTTGCGCTTTATGTTACTGCTCTTTATGAAGACCTAAATGCAGTCAGTACCAATAATAGTAATAATTTATCTATCGAACATGACAAATATATTTTATTTCTGGCTGCCAGCTTACTTCCAAAGCACTAGTTGCAGTGTTAAACGATCTATAACCTCGAGTTCAACAACGTGGAGGCGACTTCTAGGTAAGTCTTCTCGTAAAGGTAACGCTTAGCATCGTTTGCATCGTATGCCGTCGGGTCCATCGTCTCGCCGGTCTGATAAAATTGCGCAAAAAGCCGATTATTATAAACTCGCCAAAGGAATTTTAAATCGGCGCAAGTACAGTAGGTGGGCCAACTCATAAAATGTCAATCGAAATTCCGAAATGCGTTCTCCTTTCAAAAAAGATTAATTAAGTAGATTTGTAAAACTAATCACCATGCAGCATGATTCTATGATGATTCAATTACCGCAGGGTGTCGGCTTCCAAATGAGCTTATTTCCGGCTGCATGCAGGAACTACACTCTGAAAAAATAACGACTTAAGTAGCATGCAATTTTTTCATCTATTTCAGCTGCCCTTGAAAATTCAATTATATTTCATGGAACACATATGTATCCATGAAATATAATTAAATATGCATATGTATGTGTATGTGCATGCATATGCATACACATATCCATTCTTTTATTCATTCGGTAGAAAATCACGTCTTTTCAAAACTACAAGCCGTATATTTTCCGTGTATGGGAAACCATAAATTTCTCTACGGTATTGAGAGGTGATCATTTAGGGTTTATGAAATTAAGCGGTAGATTTGAACAATATTGCGAATTTTACAAGCCACAATGGTAAATGCAGATACATGACTTTTATGAAC